CCTTAAATGTAGCACTTCTTAATTCGTACCACTGATTTACAAAATTAACTATAATTAATAATAATACAAATAAAGAAAATAATAATAAATAAAAGATAAAAATAATAATTTCAGGTGTTACAATATATTGAAGATATGTGTTCAATAAAAAATAAATGAAATTAAGTATCCGATAAGTATATTATAGATTTGAAAAAAATATCAAAAAATTAGAGTTCGATATGTGTCTGAACTTTGACATACTCATTACACCTATTAGATACTTGATATATTACAATTTATAGAAAATCAGGTACCTATCATATACTTATTAGATATCTGATAGATATATGATAGGTACTAATTTTCTATAATTTGACCAGTGTCAACTTGTATTAGTTTACCTAATTCTGTTTTAAAAATATTCTTTGAGATTTGTTCAATTTCAACTGTTTTTCTTTTTCTCTTTTATCTAGATAAAATCTAACTTAACAATATCAATATAACTATTTCTTGAGATACAATATCAAGAGATATTTCAGGCTTCTCAATTTTGATACTCTTTGTTATATCACTTAGATAAGTTCATATCTCTAATAGAATTTTTATCTATTGTATAAATTCTTAAACTTTCAATTTGTTACATTTCTGTGAGAATTTAATTAAAGTTATTTCAAGTTATTTTATTTTATATATGATTATATATAATTCTTCTGTTTAGAAACTCTAGATAAAAATAATTTTCAATGTTAAATTAAACTTTTTTTAAAACTTTTTCAATTAATAAAATTATAAAATTATTAATATATTAATTTAAGTATTTATATACTATAAGTAATTTATTAAAATATTTATATAGATTTTTATTTTTTATATAATATTCAAATTTTAAATTTTCTTTATTTCAAGATAAAAAGATAATTTATATAGTTTCTTTTTATTAAGATACTCATAAGGACTTTGTAATGTTATTAATATCTTATCACAAATATTACAAATATAATTTTTTTTTATTTTTTTTCAAAATTATATTTTTATTATATAATGATAATTAATATAATTTTGACTTAATAAAATTATTTTTTTTATTTTTTATTTTTTATTTTTATTTGTTAATAGTTACAGTTTCAAATAAAAAAAAAAAGTTAAAATAAAAAATAAAAAATTTTTTTTAAAATTTAATTTTTTTTTAGAAAGTATTGTTATATTTTTTATTTTCTTTTTTAATTAAATTTACTTAATTTAGTAAATCAAATTAATATATATTGTTTTTTTTGTTTATACTAAATTGAATATAAAATACATTACTATCTTGTATATTTTCTTTGAGCTTTAATAATATCATAAATTCTTTCTGATATAGAGTGAATCAAATTGATACAAGTATCAACATCAATTTCTTGTCAAAACTATTGAATTTTAATTCATAAGTTCTTCTTATTCAAAATTCATTCAGGAAGATAATAAAGAGATGATTTATTTTATTCCATAAATGTTCTATGGAATTAAGATCTAAAAATTAAATGGGTCAATTTAAAACCTTTATTTAATTATTTTGAATTAATTGTTTTATTGAATTTGTTATATGTTTTGGATTTCTATTCTGTTGAAAAATTATATTTTTGATAGTAAATCCTTGAACTTTGATAATATTTAAGAGATCTTTATAAAGTATTTGTTGATATAATTCAACATTCATCATTTTATTGATTTTACAAAAGTTATCAACACCATGTAATATAAAACATTCTCATATTATCACAGATCCATTTTCAAATTTTATAGTGAGCTTAATATAAACACAATTTAATAATTTCTCAGGACATTTTCAATAATATTGTTTTCTATCAAGTCCAAAAACTTTAAATTTTGATTCATCAGATATATTACCTTTGACCAATTATTTGTTATCTAATTTTTATATTTTTATACAAAATCTAGATAATGTTTTTGATGTTTTTTATTTAAATAAGATTTTTTTTTTTAACTCTTGATACTAACTATCATTTTGAAGTATACATCAAATAGTAGATACTGAAATATTAATATTTTCTTGTTCTTGTAAATGGTTTTGAACTTCAACAACAGAAGAATATCAGTGAGAGGTAATGAGATTCAAGATTTTTTTTGAGTTGATTTATTTGTAATAAGTGGATGACCTGACTTTGGCAAGTTTTCAACAGAGTGGTTTTCAAGTCATCTTTTTTTAATTTGAAAAACCATAGATGGATTTATATGTTGTACTCTTGATATTTCCCTTGTTGTATATCTTTTTTGTAATGAAAGAAGAATTTGGATTCTTTCTTTAAGGGTTGTATGACACTTTTGTGTTGTAACTTGTTTACTAAGGAGTTTCAACATGGTACAAAAACAAAATAAACAATAAAACTTACTTTTTATGTGATATTTATGTAACACAATAATCACCATGTTCTTGTCAAAAGTAACGCAACACGTGTTTCGTATTACTTGACTAATTATTTCGGAACTGGTAGTAATAGTAATTATTAAGACACTATTAACAGATAATAAAACAAAACAAAAAAAAGAACATCTCCGGGATTGTTCGAAACAGTTCGATTGAACGAAATTTTTTTTTGTTGCATTACAAATGATCGCCACTGTATTATTTTTACTTTAATTTTACATATATGTATCAGGAATATAATTTAAAGCATTTTTAAATTTCTATTCCAATTCCCTTACTGGTATACTAATTTTCATTAGATTTTTTTTTTTTACCGTTATCCTAAAAAAGTTCTCTAAAGAAATTACAAATAAAAATAACATGTATTTTTTTTTCCGTCCAAATTACCCAACTGATATATTAAATTTTTTTGTTATATTTAATAATTACCCATTGATATACTAAATTTTTATTAGATTTAATAATTACTTCGCTTTTTAGCTTGTTGGAATCATTAGATAGGGATCAAGATATTCATTCCATATCCTTCATTACTGCTCTTTCTTTTTTTTTAATAGCAAGCAGAGTAATATAAAGAAAAATCCAATAAAAATATATTAAAAATGATGACGCCAAATGCAAAATTCTTGTCATTCAAAATAAATCTTAATGTTCATTTAAAATTAATATAGACACAATTGCCTACCAAAACCCCCATTTTGGCAATGTTACATAAAAAGTATAAAATTAATACATTGCCTTCGACTCAATAAATATTGATGCTAGGAAGGTGATTCAAAAATCAGTGAAGCTTAAAATGAGAGCTTTGAATGGTATTAGAAATATCTTTATACAAAATTGATGAGTGAAACTTGTCGCCTTGTGGCTCACAGACCTGATAAAAGATTTGAAATTTTAATAACAATATTTTTATGATATTTTATAAATAAATAAATAAATAAATAAATACGTAAATTTTCGTTTTCGTTCTATTTGTTATACACCTCGAGAGATACAAAATTTACTTTTTATAGTAATAATACTAAATAGTTGAATGAATTTCCAACTCTATTATATACATATAAAGTTTCTTGTTTAGTTTTTTTTTTTTCATTTAGAGTTGAGTGTTGTGTGTATTCTGTAATTTGTCTTTTGGTATTACATATAATATTTTTTTTAAGAAATGGTACATTTGCCTCCTCAAATGACACAAATGACAATAATGTATGTATGCTATTATATGTAGATGAAAATAACTATGAATTGGACGCGGTATTACACACGTGATATGCGTTTCGAATATCTTCATTTTTTGTAAAAAAACCATTAAATAACCTACCTATTATTTTTATTTGTTTTATTCGAAAAAAAACCCACTTTTTTTTTTTAAAAAAAAAGTTTCGAAACATTTTCTGTTTTATTATTGTACTAATAAAACTAATCTTTATATAAGAATTTTTTTTTGTTTCTGAAAAACAAAAAGTCACTCATTGTCGAAAATTATTCGATATCGAAATAAATATAATAGGTATAAATGAGAAAAAAAAATATTTTTTTTCAATTTGATTGTGTATTTTAATTCATAAAGCAGTTCTTTGAATCCTTTACCAGATTTTATTATTAATATATCAAACAAATTATTATTATAATTAAAAAGAAAACCGTGGAATATATAAAGAATAAGAAGAAGTAGATTATTATTTGTTATATCTTAGTATGGTAGATTTAAAGTTGATATATAAAGTATTTTCGATAAAATTCAAAATTTCTTCAGAGAATAAAAAAAAAAAATACGGCAAAGGTAAAAAAAAAAGAACTGGGAATCAAATGATATTAGATGATAAATTAAATGCTAAAGACAAGCAAAGAAATGATTTTCGTCCAATGACAAGTTCAAAAAAGGGTAAATATTCTTTTTTTTTAAATATAATGTAATAAATAATATTTATAATAATAATTATTAATTATTAATAATTATAATAAAATAGCATTGATTCCTCCACGATTAACTTCACCCGAATTACGATATCAACATCAAAAAGCATCAAAACACCAATCAGCACCTCCCACACCCACACCACTAATCCATTCATTAGAGAATGATTCATCCAAAAGTCACATCGAGGAACACAATTGTAATCATCAAAGACCAGCCTCAATGCCTGTTACTTATTCTCCTGTAACACAAATTTCACAAGAAGTTCCTAGAAGACTTAGTATTCCTTCCACAAATTCAATACATGAAAATATCATCAATTATATTAATTATAAAAAAAATTATAATAATAATAATAATAATAATAATAATAATAATAATAATAATAATAATAGAGATTTTAATAATAATATAGAAAATAATAATAATAATAACATAGGGAATAATAATAATAACAATAATAATAATAACAATAATAATAATAACAATAATAATAAAAACGACGATAATAATAATAATCTCCCTTATTTAAATTTAAATAATGCAACAGCAACTAAATCAGTTCCTTCTTTAGTATTAATTAGAGATATAGTAATAACTCCTGCACCTTCAACACCTACATTAAAAAAACTTCAATTCTCTTCAACAATTCTTGAACATGAAACATGGACACGTGAAGATTATGACCGCCGAGGGGATCAAACCACGTGTAATAGTCTTACACCTTCATTAGCTCAAAAAATCAAACAAGAATTAAACCAATTTAAGATGGTAGAAATGCAAGTACATGAAGAAAGTAAAAAGAATACACATTTCTTTGCTTAAAAAAAAAAAAAAATAGACTATTTATTATTTACTAGTTGGCTATTCGATTTTGAATATGGACAATTTAATTTAATTTTTTTTATTTCTTTGTAATTTTTTTAAATTTTTTCTTTTTTGGGCGGGTGATAGAAAGGACAATGGAATTTTTTTTAGGGGGTTTCTATGGGATGGGGTGAAATCTTATACATAAATGAATCGTTCTTTGTTATTATATTTCTTTGTTCTAGGTGATCGATGGGAATGGACAATGAATTTATATTCAATTATTTATATTATGTTCAATTCTTTGTACTCAATTATATTCAATTATGTTCATTTTTTTATATGAAGAAAATATTTCATATACCATTTATCAGTATATTGTTGGTTGTATTCATATATTTGATATATATGCCTCAAATTTAGAGAAAAAAATATGTAATAAAAAAAAAAAAGAATTAATATTTCGATCATTACTTTAAAAACACCAAAAAAAAAAAAATTAAGTGCATAATCTATTATATGTAAATTTAAATATAAATACATAATGATAAATAATAAATGTATAAATTTGAAAACATTATCACGAGATGGATATTATATGAAATGTAATTAATAATCTAACTAATAATAATAACTCTCTCATTAATTAAATGTAATTAATATCGAACTAATAATAATTCTCTCATTAATATTACTATTCCGATACATAATTATGATAAGAAAATAATCATCTTTCTTATGCGAAAACTTCACGATTTTCTTGTACCAAAGCACAACAACCACAACACCAATGGGTAACAAAATCGCCAACATTCGAACCCTATTTTTGGATGAATAAAAATTTGGTAAATGTGAAAAGGGTGAAAAAAAATATGTATGCGCAATATTGGGAGAAGATATTAAAAGGTTATTGAAAAATAATAAAAATCACTTACTTCAATATTACGGGCATTACGTATCTCACCACGACCAAGTCCACCCATGATGCAAGGCACCAAACAAACTCCAACACAAAAATAAATTAGGGCTTGAGTAAAACAACTTCCATCATTATGTAATTTAGCTTTGGTTTCTCCCTAGAAATTATGACCAGAATTATGACCAGAGTTATGAACAGAATTATGACCAGAGTTATGAACAGAATTATGACCAGAGTTATGACCAGAATTATGATTAGCAAGACCATATTAAAAAGAAAAAAAATGAAAATTAAATACTTACATAGGTGATACAAGAACAACAGTAAGTCTTTAAGGCTATTGTTTAAAAACGAACGAATTAATGAATTTTCTATATATATATATTTTTTTCAATTCAAATAGCATAATAGCATTATAAAAGAAAAAAACGACAACATACAAAGCATTGGGTCTGCAAAGCAATCAAATAAACCAAATTTCCACTCTTGAGGTGGAGCCGCAAATACTGTAGTTGTACCCATTTGTGGAGTACTTTGATAAATTACTTCTACTTGCGGCTGTTGTGGTTGTTGAATAATTGTAGTTTTTTGAGGTTGGTATTCCATTTTATTTATTAAATTTTATTTAATAATCTTTATTAATAAAAAAAAAATACGAAAGAAAAGAAAGAAACTTTATTAGAAATAAAAAAAGAAAATGAGTTTTTATAAAAAAAAATTATTGATTATGTGATATATCAAGTTAAAGAAAAGTAGAATTGCTTTCAAAATCCATTTAAAATTTTTGAATTCTAATTTTACTTTTTTTTGCAAACTTTGGGATCGTCAACGTTTTCCAAATGTGTCACGGAAGTACAAATTTCATTAAAAATTCCATTTTCTTTTCTCTCGTTTCATATTTTCAATGAAAAATGCATGAATTCTTTTTTTTTTTAATTTGCAAATTCGGAATTCATTCCCCGTCACAAAACATAAATATTATTTATTGTTGTTACCTTGACTGCATTATACTCAAGGCGTTTTTAATGCATTAGGATATATGCGTTGCATTAAATGCATTAGGATAAAAAAAATAATAATGGAAAATTATTGTGTTGGTGTTTAATCAAAGTAAACCATTTTTTTAAAGCAATTATGGAAATGAATAAAAATGAATATAGAATTAAAAAAAAATATTTTGTTTCAGTAGAACTCTTGAGTGAATTTAATGTATTCTTTATCTCTTTACATTTTGCAGTACTGGTTTCCCATTTGATAAATTTAATAGTAGCATTTATAAACTTGTAACTTGATAACTCATAACGAAAATTGAACTTGTGACTGACTGATTGACAAAAGAACTAATATGCATTTTATAAGGAAACAGACCCCGAGTCTAGACTTTTATCCTTATTTTTTTTCAAGGTAATTAATACGTGATATGATCTAGTTAAGAGTGTAGACCCCAGGTCTAGGATGAAATTATCCTTTTATAAGTATAATTTCCTTTTTCATGAGTTTCAATGTCAATATAATTTTTTTAAAAAGATCAAGTAAAAAATATGTCACCTGCCGATTATAAATTCTGGGGTTAGTTGACACAAAATCCAAAATTCAATCTGGATTGACATTTGAACCTTGAACACACCCTATATTTGTCACCCGTTATCTGTTCATAAACTCAAAAAACCCAATGCGACATGTCGCAGGGGCGACAAAAAAAACAAATCCCCTTAATTGTTATTCGAAAAATAGAGTTTCGATAAAAAAAAAAAGAGAGATAATATAAAATAATAAAAAAAAAATGGATGAAATTATTAAAAAAGAACGCATTACCAAGTATCCTTATGAAAATTTCGAAAATATCCATAATATAGAAACGAATTTTTATACCTTAGAAACAAGTGTCGATAATATAGAATCGGATAATAATTTTCTTTATAAAGCTCTTATAAAGAAAACGCGGACACTTGTAATTTTAAAACCCATTTCAATTAACAACTTGTCTTATTTAAAAGAAATTATAAATAAAGTATTGATTTTATTTTTTTAATATAATTAATTAAATATAATTAATGATAATTAAATGAATTAATGATCATATATTTTGATATATGAATGTTTCTATATATCTCCATTAAATAGATTAAACAATATCGAAAATTAGAAGCTCATGAAAATATTTCAAGAATTCTTGGAATTACTAAATCAAGTAATATTACCGATCTTTAAGATATATAATAATTTATAATTAATTATTTTTTTTTTTTTATCATTATAATTTGTTGAATTGATTAAATTTCTTTTTTTTCTTTTTAAAGGTTCTAATAATTATATGTTAGTTCTTGAAAATGCAGATGGGACAACTCTTCATAATTATTTCAAAGAAAATGTTAAAAACAATAAAACCATTAGTTGGACTACCAAATTACATTTAGTCAAACAGATATCAAATGGATTAATGTTTTTACATTCAAAAAATATTGCTCATGGAAATTTAGTAAGTGATAAATGCTTGATTAATCTTTAAAATTAAATTTCTAATTTTTTTTTTTTTTTTTTTTTTTTAAAAAAAAAAATAAAAATAATAATAGAATTCAATATCAATCTTTATTCATAAAGATCAAATTAAATTAATTGATGGCGCAAGTTTGAATCAAATCTTTAGCGGTAGTAGTGAAAGTCGAATTCATGAAATTTTTGGTAAATCCTTACATTATTCGGATTCTAAAAATTTGGAAATTCTCTTACCATTTAATAATACAAAGAAGAGTTTTGATATTTATAGTTTAGGAATAATTCTCTGGTTAATTTCCGATGGATATTTTCAAATTCATCCCGAAAGATTTAATGAGAAATTTGAATTCTTGGAAAAATTTCCTAGTCTTTACATTTTAAGAGATATCATTTATAATAAAAAGCAATTAATTACATCGGGAACTCCATTGGAATATACCGAAATTTATAAAAGTAAGTTTTACATTATTATTATTTTTTTTTATTCATTTATTTATATTTATTTATTTATTTATTTTATTATTTACATATGATTATTTATTTCATTTAGATTGTTGGCAACCTGAAGAATTTAAAAGGCCAAATATTGAACAAGTAATTAAAGCTTTAAATGAAAAGGACTTATCAAATATGATGAAAAGTAATATTAGATTTGTTCCCAAAGAAGAAAACCCAAATATTTCAAATAAATTATCCAAATTAAATAATGACTCAAATATGTAAGTGTATATCAATAATTATAAAAAAACATAAAATAATTAAAAAAGAAAAAAAATTGTAAAATGTGAATATTTATTAAATTTTTTTTGGATTTTTTTTTTTTTTTTTAGAGAAAATAAGAAATTTCTTTTAAAGCATCAAAATCCTTTGAAATTTTATGTAAAAATGAAAGACACTTATACACATTATGATTCATTTATTATAAAATTATATCTTTTTTTTATAGAACAATTTAATATTCAATCAGTTAATAATACTGTAGCTTTCTATTTACAAAAATATATTAAAAATTTTTGTTTAAATTCAAGTAAAGTGTTTATGAAATTATTGCAAAGCCCTTATAACTCATATTTTACTAGTATGATTGGATTTTTTTATGAATTTGGGGTAGGAACGAAAATTAATGAACAAATGGCATTTGAGATGTATGCTAAATATCACAAAAAACCTATTGAAATTCACAAAAATAATACGAAATTATTATTATATAAGAATTATTTTCAAGAAAATAATTATATTATAGGACAAGTATCATTGGGATTAATGTATTTGAAGGGAACAAAAATTATTCAAAAAGATAAGGAAAAAGCATTTAAATTATTTGAGGAATCAGCTAAGAAAGGTTCAAGTTTAGCTCAAAGTTGTGTGGGATTTTGTTATAGTTTTGGAAATGGGATTAAAAAGGATGAAAAGAAAGCATTTATAATGGATTTAAAATCAGCAGAAAGAAAGAATCCAGTAGGATTATTTGATGCAGGGTATGATTTTATTGAAGGTATAGGAACGATTGCTAATGAAAGGAAAGGATTTCAATGCTATTTAGAAGCAGCAATGTTGGGAAATGTTAAAGCATACGATTTATTAGGTTTATGTTATCAAAAAGGATTAGGAATAATGAAAAATGAAGAGAAAGCATTTGAATGGTATAAAAAAGGGGCGGAAGCAGGGTATAGTGGAGCATTTAATAATGTTGGATATTGTCATTTATTAGGAATTGGGTGCGAAAGGAATGAAAAGAAATCATTAGAATTTTATTTGAAATCAGCAGAAATAGGAAATCCTCACGGAGCATTAAGAGTAGGAAGATTTTATCACGATGATCCGGTAATAAAAAAAGATATTATAAAAGCAGTTTATTGGTTATCTAAAGCCAAAAAACATGGAGAATATTTTGCAGATGAATGGTTGGAAGAAATTTGTGAACATTTAACAATATAATTTTAAATAAATAATTAAAATTTATTAATACATTTATTATTTACAATTTTAATAATTTTTTAATGATTTAGAATTAGAAGATTTTAGATTTTATATAATTACAGAATATATAGAAATTTTGATAATATTATTTTATATCTTTTAAAATTTTTAATAAATTTAATAAATATTGTTTCTGTAGTAATTAATATGATTAACTTTTAATCATTTAAATTATTTATAGTTCTTTTTAACTCTGAATATGAATTCATAAAATCTTTATTATTGTCTATAATAATATTAATAATACAATAATTCTAAAAAAGAACTTGAATTTAAGTTTATTTAGTAATTTCTTGATAAAAGTCTATTATAAAATTTTTAAATAATTAATAATTAAATAATAATTAAATAATAATTAATTAATAATTAAATAATAATTAAATAATAATTAAATAATAATTAATAATTAATTAATAATTAATAATTAAATAATAAATTAAAATAATAATTAATTAAATAATAATAAATTACAAGCAATTTTTATTCTATTGACCCATTTGATAATAATTCAATGTCAACCTTTAATCCATCATACGCGGGTTGAACCTGTTATAAAAATATTGTTAAAATAATAAATTCAAATATTTAATTATGACCAAGTTTAATATTATGTAACTTACCCATAATCCAGGTTCGTTTTTCAACTCTTTAGCTAATTCATTATGTTCTATTTTATGATTAAATCCCAAAAGATAAGTTCGTTTTGGAATGGGAATCAAATTTTTAGATGTCTCAATTGCTTGAGGTATTGAAAAATGTGAAATATGAGGTTCGCCTAATAAATGAATCAAATATTAAAAATATTAAAAATTAATTTAAAAAATGTAAATACTAAAATGGAAACATATATATATATATATATTCTTACAATTTAATGAATCCAAAATAACAATTTCACTTCCATGTATTTTATCAAATGTTTCTTCAGGAATATAACTACAATCCGAAATATAACAAATATTATCAAATCGAAAACCCACATAAATGTATGGTTCACGTGTTGTGAAATATACCCCATGATGAACTATATAAATGAAACAAATAAGAATAAAATGAAATAAAAATAATTAATAAAATAATTTAAAATAAATAGAAAGAATTATAATTGTGATAATAATAATAATAATAATAATAATAATTTCCTGGTAAAGGAGTAAATTCCAAACCCTCGATAGTAAAAGGTGTTTTTGAATCTATTAAATTCCATTGAAATTTTGGTAAATCTCCTCCACCTTATAAAATATTCATAAAATATTCATAAAATATTAATAAAATATTCATAAAATATTAATAAAATATTCATAAAATATTCATTAATATTCATACAATATTAATATAATATAACATTAACATATGAATAAAGATTAAACATACCAGTAGCAACTTGGGAATCAATTAAATAAGGAAATATATTTTTAACAGCATCCAATGTATCATTTGTTAAATATATTGGAATACAATCTTGAATAACTTCCTCTAATGTCCACGCTCTTAAATCATCTAATCCATTTATTGCATCCGCATGTGGATGTGTTAATATAATTGCATCAATTCTTCGTAATTTATAATGTGACCACCATTTTAATGCCGATACTTAAATAATTATATTATTTGTTACATTATTTGCTAGATTATTAATTATTATATTAATTATTAATTATTATTATCCAAAATAAATTTACCATAAAAAGTCTTGCCACAATCAATAACAATATTCCTAATAATAAAAATTATTATTATTATTATTCGTTAAAGATATTACAGTTTAAAGTTGTTATCTTACCTTATTCTGCCATCCTCGTGGTTAATTCTAATTAACAAACTAGTATTTCTTCTTATATTAACTTCTCCTTCAGGTCGAAGTGTTGATATACAAGTTTTACAGTTTTGTTCAGGATCAGTAAGGCAACCAATAGTTGGAACGCCTGACGAAGTTCCTATTCTCGAATAAAATCAATGAATTTAATGAAATCAAAACTTTTTATCATATATTATTAGAAAAAATATATATAAAGATTTACCAGTCCCAAGAAATATTATTTCTTTAACTTTAAGGGGTGACATGATTTATAATGTTTTAAAATTTTCCCGATTCGGATTTTTTTCATATAAACTCCACGTGGGTTACTTATTTGTTGACTGATAATCAAACTTACCATATTTAACTTTTTTTAATTTATTTTTTAATTAGATTAATCTGATCTAAAATATTCCAAAATAATATGTTCATTTATTTAGTTTTAGGACTCGTTGCAATCATAGCATTTAAATTTTTCCACCGAGATAATGTGATTGAGTTTACTGTTCCTGTGCCAAAGGGTAAGTTTACAACTTTAATAAAAATGGTTTAATATTTCTTTAATATATATATATATATATATATATATTTTATCATTATTTCATTATTCAATAGAGGCTAAACCAGGTTGGAATAATGGCAAAATTTTGGATAAACCTAATATTCGAGTATGTTAGTATTTCTTTCAAATTAATTATTTTTCCATTATCTATAACAATTTGTAATAATATATATTTAACATTTATAAAAATAGGACCCAAAAAATCCTGGCTTTATACAATGTTATGACCCAGCCACAGGACAATTATTAGATACCATAAAAGCTCACACAGAAAATGATATTGTTGAATCTTTAAAAAAAGCTCGCAATGCACAAATAAAATGGTCAAAAACAACATTCTCGGAAAGAAGGAATGTATTAAAGTCGTTATTGAATTTCATTGTAAGAAATCAAGAAGAAATTTGTTGGGTTTCTTGTAGAGATACCGGAAAAACTTGTAATTTTACTTTATATTGATTTAATTTAAATTTAATTATTTACAACAAAAATCTGATTTTTTTAAAAAAAAAAAAAATTTATTATCTATTATGTTTAGTACTTGATGCAGAATTTGGAGAAATTATGGTTACATGTGAAAGAATTCGATGGACTATTAAAAATGGGGAAAATGCGTTATCACCACAATATCGTGATGTTCCTATGATAATGCCTTATAAAATAGCAAAACTTGAATTTGAACCACTTGGTGTCGTTTCTGCCATAATTTCTTGGAATTATCCGTAAGATTATTTAAATTAAATTATTTTTAATTAAAATTTTAATTAAATTTATTTTAATTAAATTACTTTAACTTTAATTTATTATGATCAATAATTTTAATTATTCATTTATTATCAATAGATTTCATAATGCAATGGGACCAATTATATCAGCATTATTTGCAGGAAATGGAATTTTGGTTAAATGTTCAGAGCAAGTTGCTTGGTCAATGAAATATTTTAGTGATATCATAAAGAAATGTTTAATTCAATGTGGTCATGATCCTGATATTGTACAATTCTTATGTGGATTTCCTGATTGTGGAAAATCATTGGTTCAAAGTGGACTTGATGGAATAACATTTATTGGGTATTTAAATCGAAGTTTTATTATCGTCATATAATATATATATATATATATATATATAATATAGAGTTATTGTTATTATTATATCATTTTTAATAATTACATCACTTATTATTCATTCCTTATTCTTTATTTATATTCCAGTTCTCCACAAGTTGGCAAAAAAATTATGCAAACCGCATCAAATACATTAACACCTTGTATTTTAGAATTAGGCGGTAAAGATAGTGCAATAATTCGTCATGATACTGATTTAGATAAGACAATTTCAATTATTTTACGTGGAGTTTTCAAAATTCTGGACAGAATTGTATTGGATTTGAAAGAATTATTGTACATGAAAAAATACATGATGAATTAGTGAAAAGAGTTCTTAATAATATTAAATTAATGAGAGTTGGATGTTCATTAAATGATGAAGATAAAGTTGACATTGGAGCCATTACCATGAGTGATCATGTATTTCTTTTTTTTAAAAAAAATTTATTTTTACTATTATTATATTATAAATTTATTTTATTAATTGCTTTTATTTATATTTACAATTTTAGACTGAAAAAATCACTACTCTTATAAAATCCGCCATATCACAAGGTGCAATACTTCTACACGGTGGACACGTTTATAATCATCCCAATTATCCCAAAGCTCAATATTATACACCAACACTTTTAACAAATGTAACTTCACAAATGGAAATAGCTAAAACTGAAATTTTTGCACCTGTAATGGTGATAATGAAATTTAAAAGTGATGAAGAAGCTATTGAGATAGCAAATATTACACCTTATGGATTGGGTAATTCAATTTTTACTTCCGATCAAAATAAAAAATATTGGATGGCGAAAAAATTAAGATGTGGAATGGTTAATTGGAATGATTTTGGTGCTAGTTATTTATGTAATTTGCCATTTGGTGGTGTTGGAAATTCAGGATTTGGAAGGTAAACATTATTATTATTATTATTATTATTATTATTATTATTATTAATATTATTATCATTATTATTATCATTATTATTTATTATTGTTTCATTGTTGTTTTTATTATGTATATTTATAATATTCTTCGATACGATACATAGATTCGCTGGTGTAGAAGGTTTGAGATCACAATGTTTAATGAAATCAATAACATTTGATCGCTTCCCATCAATCATTAAAACAAATATACCACAACTATTAACTTATCCTATCTCAACTAATGGATCAATGTTTGTAAATAATTTGATTAAAGTGATTTATGAGAATAATTGGTTGAACAAAGTTAAAGCTATTTTAGAATTAATTAAGGTTTCAATTAAAGAGTAGATATTTATTATATCATCAATATTATTATATTGTGCTTTAATATAATAATGTTTAATTATATTATATTTTAGTCATGTTATTAGTATAAAATTTACATACTGAACGTTGATCGCAAAATTATTGACGATCAGTTTTTGTGCCTGATCTCACGTGAATTGATTTTCAACCTATCATAAAATATTCACGTCGCATAATTGTTCCGAAAAATATATTATAATAATAAAGCATGATAATGTTTAGTTTCTATTATTTAGTTTTATTAAATATTCCAATTTTTGTTCACTAGCTTTTTCTAAAGCATTTCAGTAAGACCAAAAATAAAGATACTACAAGAATAATTTCCTACTGGAGACCTATTCAATACATATCTTCTATTAATTTACACAAAATTAAATCATCTAATAATAAAAAGGCATCTTCTTTTGTTTTTAATTTTCTTATGAATTTTTCTTAATATATAGTTAAAGAACCAAACACATTTTTTATATCTTTTGTTTGGGACTGCCTAAATACATTGACAACATTATTTCTAGTTATTTGTTGTTCCGTTTTGGTAATTACATCTATAACCTCTAACATTTTTTCCATATCTGATCGAATATCTACATAAATTGGATTGTCTATCGCACGTCGAATACAATTGTCAGACTTTACATTCTTGAAATGCAGGATCTCCGGCTAAGCAAAATAATTTGTAATCGATTGTTTATAACATTGATATATTGTAGAACAATTAAATAGTTCTTCTCTCATTTTACATTTTGCATCAAATAAATATTTAAGCCACTGCTATTACTAAATTAGCGTTAAAATTTACTGACCTTGTGAACTTTCCAAGGTTATATAGGTGGTTACAGAATCTACAAAAACCAATTGACTGATTCAGCTGGTTAAACAATCTTAGCGAACCATGGATGAGAAAACTAATAACAGAGTTTATAGAATCTTTCAAGTATTATTAAAAGGCTGTTCAGATACTTTTAATACAAAAAAAAATATTTTTAAACTTATTTTTTACGTAGAAATCAGAGAACAGTAACTCCATATGGCGCAACGGGATACTGCCTCAATTTCGTCCGATCTTAATGATTACAGTATAGGATGTCGTATGCCTATTGTGGACATTCCACGTAAATCGAGAAATTTTCAGGAACAAAATTGCGTATTTGATGAAAATGTTGGATCTTCTTGGAAACAAGATCATAGAAATGGAAGAGAATGTACTGAGTCGGCCAAGCACAGTGAACGTGACATTTTCAACTCGGAAAGGGAAAATTCTGAAATTCTTCTTCGGGGCATCAATTCGCTACGGAACAGCAGAAACACCGTAGATGTGAGCGCTGATCTACGAAAACAACAAACTAGCGGAAGAGAGGTTGGAAATGATGTCAACATTGTTTGTAAATGTCCCAACCGAGAAAAAAATTCAAAAACTGCTGTCATCCTTGGGGCAACCGCTCCAAATTGGTACCCTGGAAGGCTCTACGTGAACAGAGAAAAAACAAAAGACGCCGTGCTGTCTTGTACTCCCGAACGATCAGCCTAGAAAAAATATGGAAACGATTCCAAGTGTCAGCTAGAGATGAATTCACTGAATCATTGTGCAAAAATCCACTTATTTTAGTTGGAAAAATAATGAACGAATTTGATTGTTTCCGTGTTGCAACTTCTCTTAACCTCGACGTCCAAAGCGAAAATCCTCAAGATGATATTATCAATTATGTAAAAGAAGATCTTACCTGCAATATAAAGGAAGTTAAATGGTATGGTTTCGATCATATCATTATTATTGGGGAGCATTATTGTGGAATGCTTTTCTTGATTGTTACGGTCGCGTGTTTGTTTTGGACACTATGATGAATATATTGTGGTTTTCGGAGATTATTTTGAAAGACTGACTGAGTAATCTGACCGGGTCGCTTGGAGCTTGCTGAACGATGGAACTGTGTTTGAACTCAATAAATGTATGTTTATTTTTAATAATAATCTCATTTACTTTAATATTTTATAACTTTTCTCTTTCAGATTTACATTACAGTAAGAAAAAGGAAGACAGTAAGAAAAAGACAAGAAAAAGCGTCGTTGATTAGAATGTATTTATTGCAAATATCAACATGTTGATAATAAACATATTTGGATCTTATAACCTCAATAAAAGATGTTAAAGTTAACAAAGTTTTGGTATGATGTAGAATGTATTTTGTTGGAAAACAAGAGATAATATTCAACAATCTGCATGTACAGTATGAAATCGTATATTAAAAAAAATAAAAATTATTACAAATATTTAAAGTTATAATTTATTCAATAAGGCCCAATTCTCGAAGATTATTCTGGAATAACTACATATGGGTCTTCGTAATACCAAACATACCTTAGTGCAATCAAATTCTCTTCACATAATTCTTTCTTAAGTTGACCCCGTGCTTGCTGTTTGATAAAATTATCGGGATCGCCTCTAAGAAAGAATTCTATATATTTTTCGTGTTGCTCTCCTTACACTTTAATGACGAATCCATATTGTGAGTAATAATTGTTAAGCTCTAATCCAGTTGGGTTTTCTAAAGTTTTAAGAAAATCAGGTCGGCGTATCTTAGATGGCGGTCCAAGATATTTCGACACAATCTCTCTACATAAATTTCTCTTTTAAATTTTGAACAGTATGGACACCATGTACCTAAACCTTTTATATTAAAAAGTGGTGCATTCCATAAATGTCCATTAGTATATTTCCATAATAAATCTGAATAGGTATTAATATACTCTGTAGAAAGACATTCCTCATTTCGGCTAAAAGCAATTTGTTCAGCATCTTCAAGAGTGTATTTTGCATTGACTGCACAGTATGGACACCATATTCTATGATTTTTTATACTAAGAAGACAAGCAGTCCATTTGTGATCTATATTACAGCGCCATAATAATAATGACTCACCATTAATAAAATTTTCAAGAAGACATTATCTATCTTTATCATGTGCAACTTTTATAGCATCTTCAAGAGTACAGGGTTTTCTATGCGAACATTTTATACACCGATTTTTTCCATGTATAACATTGTTATAAGTTGTCGACCATTCAAGACCTTTAGAACATCTCCACTTTAATAATTCTTTGGTAACTGTACATTGGATAGAAAGATATAATCCACCTCTATCTATAGCAATTTTTTTTAGCGATTTCAAGGTGAAAAAGATGCCGATCTTTAGAACATTTCCATCTCAATTGTGTGGAAGTATTAATATATGTATCTGAAAGGCATAAGCCATTATTTTTAAACGAGAATTAGCAAAGTTTTATTTAGACAAATTTTTATTAAAATTCTGCACAAAAATGAATCACATTTTAAGAATGAATAAAGAACCAAATATAATAGGTCTAAATCCTTAAATATGATATAAATCACATAATCACTTAAATCTCATATAATCGATAAATAAGTCATAAAATGGTTGATTTTAGTAGTTTAATAGCATATTCAGGCTCTAAATGTTCGGATAAAGAATGAAATGAATATGTGCAGATGGGGATTATTAGGTCATATGAAACTCCTAGTGAGTGGAGATAGAATTCTACCTTGTCTCCTTGAAGTCGTAAGAATCTTTTCCATGCAAGAAAACGAATCCCGTTTCCAGATGGAACTTCATATTTACCTGAAACCGGATTTGTTATCTGTCACCGTTGTAATCAACTTGTGTATGTTGGAGAGCATAAATATGATGGATGGTATTATACTCATAGAGAAATTGAAAAAACATTGGGCCACAAATTGTACTGACATATTCACATTAGCTTAAACATGCAATGGAGGTCGGTAAAATATTTATTAACATAAATAAAATAAAATCATTATATATTTATATTAAAATAATGTAAATAGTGCTCCTAATGAATCAGAATTTCATATGAAATTTAATATATGGCCATTATTATTTTTTTTTAATAGTATGTGAGTCATATGCGAGTTAATGAGTTAAATCCATTTGGAGTTTTAAATATAAATAACAAAATATTTTACTCTTGTAAAATTTAATGAAATTATCAAGACTTTTTAAGCAAACATCTTATTTACCAACTCTACTCCAAACATTTTGTTCTCCAAACCTATACCAGTTTTTTTTACTGGAAGAAATAAATCCATCAAGCCATTCTTCTTTGTATACTGTGCCAAAGCCCCCTTTAGAAGGTATGTGACATTCTCAAGTCTGCCAAATGGAATCCACTCAATAATTCCTTGACGTTTATTTGCCTTTAGTTGCATTTTTTGAATAAATTTATCAATTTCTTTATCTTCATTTGTCCATTTATTGAATTCATTTTGAAATTGCTTGACACTACATGGATGGCACCAATCTTCTCCAGTATTATATTGATGACATTCGCTACACTTTCTAAAAATATTATTGATAATTAATTAATGAATTGTTATATGATATTAAATTAAATTGAAACATTGATTTCAATAATTATGAATTTAGATACTCACGGACTGTAATATAATTTATATTGATTAGTTTATAATTGATTAGAGAATTGTTATACGATATTGAAACTTTGATCTCAATAATTATGAATCTAAATACTCACAAGCTGTAATATAATTTATATTAATTAGAAATATAATTTAATATATGTAATTATTATTAGCAACAAATTATGGTTTTAAAATAAAGTTTTATATCATAATAATATGCCTATTCTTCCAATTTTTCTGTTTCTCCAATTTCTTTCATCTCTTCTGTTTTTCTCATTTCTTTCATTTCTTTCCATAACTTCTTCATTTTGTCTCTTCAATTTTTTAATTTTTTTTTTTTTTAATTAACATCTGTTGCTAACGGCCACATAATATGCATGGGAACCACCACATTTTGCAGCCAAGTTTCTATTGGCATAGTACCATATACATAATTAACTTCTAATTTTTATCATCTAAATAACATTTTAACTACAGTTTTCGCAACATTTCAATAGTCAAATAGTGGTTTGGCGAGTTACATACCAAGTATCAGTGTGAACTAGGCTTGGAGGCATTATTTCAAGCTGTCCTTGGAAGAGATCCATGCAGAGTTCCAATATATAAAGACAATAAAAGGTGATAGGATAAGAGTAAGCAATAAAAAGAAAGAAAGAATATAAAAACTCGGGATTTTTCGCAGGATCATATTTGGTTTTTTTTATCATGGCGATTAAAATTGAAAAATGACGAAACATTTTTAATGTAATATTTTATTAAAATAAAATAAAACAAATATTTTGTTAAAATAAAATAAAAACAAATATTTAATATTGTTTAATAAATCGTGTCGTGAACCCTGTTTAGTATTTTGTGCACCGAACGGGATATCTTTTGTTTTTAATCATTGATTTTTCATATGAAGAGACATGGAAAATGCACCATACAAAAATATCACTTCGCTTCCCGAATTTGTTGAAAAAGTACTAAGTCATTTAAGAGTAACTTATTATACAATGATATTAACAATAATTCTATTTGATCGTGTTAAAGATGAAATCAGAAAACTTCAATCTCTCAACGATCCAGCAATGTGTAATGGTAGAATGTTTGTTGCGGTGGTAATGGAAACTTATCATATATTGTTTGATGAAACATATAAGTATTATTATTAGGCTCAACGAACAGGTTTATCGAAGAAAGAGATCAAAGATTTTTTTTTTTTTTTTTTTTATATCCAACGGAGTCTTGCTCCAATAAACTTTATTAATAGATTAAGTGTAAATTTT